GCAGCAACGTACTAGGTAGATAGAGGCGAAAGGAAAACCCAGCAGCATAAAAGACAAACGCAAAACGAGAGAAGCAACAAAACATAAAACCCTAAACCCTCAACCTCTGCCACTGAACCCCCCTCCCCAAGCACGCCTCAGCTGCTGCTGCTGCAGCTGAGGCAGCTGCTGCAGCTGCTGCAGTCGCTGCAGCAGCAGCAACAGGAGTCCACAGCCTGTAGTTGCTGCTGCTGCTGATGAATTATATTGCTGCAGCAGCAGCGCAGCGTGCTGCTGCCATCTGAAGCAGCAGCGAGAAAGCATAAGCAGCCGGCGGGGGCAAACAGCAACACAGAGAGCCGCAGCAGCAGCAGCTGCTGCTCCTGCTGCTGCTGCTGCTGCAGCAACAAGCCCCCCAGCAGCAGCAGAATCACAACAAATGACCCGCGGGCTGAGGAGTTGCTGCGGCGACGCCCTGAAAAGCAAATTGTGGGTGCTCCTGCTGCTGCTGCTGCTGCTGCTGCTGCTGCTGCTGCTATTGCTGCTGCTGCTTTTGCTGCGATTCTTCTTGTGTTGACTGCAGCACTGGTGCGGTTTGTTGCTGCTACATGCTGCTGCTGCTGCTGCTGCTGCTGCTATGGGCGCATCTGCCGCTGTAGAGTTGGTAGTGAAGGCTAGGCAACGGCATCCTGCTGCTGCTGCTGCTGCTGCTGTTGCTGCTGCTGCTAATGCTGCTGCTGCTGCTGCTGCAGCTGCTGCTGCATCGAGCTTGTTTATGAAGAGAGAAGTTTTATTAACTAATTACAAATGAAGCTGCGTCGCTCGTGATTTTCCTTTCAGCAGCAACAGCAGCAGCAGCTGCCCAGATAGATAAACTGCTGCTTCTGCTGCTGCTCCTGCTGCTGCTGCTCCTGCTGCTGCTGCTGTTGCGGCAGTTGCTGCTGCTACAGCTACACCTCCTGCGCTTGGGGTTGCTGCTGCTGCTGCTGCTGCGGGGGCGGCGGATAGTACCCCTGACTCTGGGGCGGTGGTGGAGGCATCTGCTGCTGCTGCTGCTGCTGCTGCGGCGGCGGCGGCGGCGGCTGGTATTGCTGCTGCTGCGGTTGATATGAAGGAGCAGGCTGCTGCGGCGGCGGTTGGTATGGCGGCACTTGCTGCTGCTGCTGCTGCTGCTGCTGCTGCAGCGGCGGCGGCGGCGAATATGGAGGCACTTGCTGCGGCTGCTGCGGCGGCTGGTACGCAGGCGGTTGCTGCTGCTGCTGCTGCTGGTAGGGAGGCGGTTGCTGCTGCTGTTGGTAAAGAGGTGGTTGTTGCTGCTGCTGCTGGTAAGCAGGCGGTGGCTGCTGCTGCTGCTGCTGGTAAAGAGGCGGCTGCTGCTGCTGCTGCTGCTGGTAAGGAGGCGGTTGCTGCTGCTGCTGCGGTTGGTAAGCAGGCGGTGGCTGCTGCTGCGGATAAGGCGGCACTTGCTGCTGCTGCTGCTGCTGCTGCTGCTGCTGCTGTCCCTGCGTTTGATTGACCTGCCCAGCAGGCGTCGATGGTGTTTGCTGTTTCTTCTGCTGCTGCTTTGGTTTCTGCTGCTGCTGTTTTTGCTGCTGCTTTGGCTTCTGCTGCTGCTGCTGCTGCTGCTGCTGTTTTGGTTTCTGCTGCTGCTGCTGCTGCTTCGGTTTCTGCTGCTGCTGCTCCTTTGGTTTCTGCTGCTGCTGCTGCTGCTGCTGCTGCTTCTTCGGCTGTTTGCTTGAGTTCTCGCCTGTTTGTTTTGTCGTTTGTTTTTGTTGCTGCTGCTTTGGTTGATTCTGCTTCGTCGTTTTCTCTTGCGTTTGCTTCTTTTGCTGCTGCTGCTGCTGCTGCTGCTGCTGCTGCTGGTCCTTGCCTTCGGTTTTTCTGTCTTTGGTTTGAGCAGCTGCTGCAGGAGCTGCTGCTGCTGCTGCGCTTTCTTCTCGAGGGGGTAGAGAGTAGAAGAGTTCTTCGTCAGCAGCAGTTTGCTGTGTCTGTCTTGTGCTGCTGTCTCCTCTATCTGCTTTTGCTGCTGCTGCTGCTGCTGCTGCTGGTGCTGCTGGTGCTGCTGGTGCTGGTGTTGCTGCTGCCTCATCAGCTGTCTCTGCTTCGCTGCTCGCTTCAGCTGTCTCCTCGTCGTCTCCGTCCCCTTCTTCTTCTTCTTCTTCTTCTTCGCCGTCATCTTCTTCTTCTTCTTCTTCTTCTTCATTTTCTTTTTCTGTTTTTTTTTGTTCGGATGATATATTTAACTCATATATATCTTCGTTGCTATCGAAGCTGCTGCGGCTGCGCTTTTGCTGCTGCTGCTGCTGCTGCTGCAGCTTTTGTTTGTCGTGGTGCTGCTGCAGCTGCTCTATTAACTCATTTAACATAGAGAGAACCCCCACATCTCCTGAGGCATTTGTTAGTCCCCCTGTAGCGATTTGTATGCTTTCATGCTGCAGCAGTTGCTGCTGCTGCTGCTGCTGCTGCTGCTGCTGGTCAAGCAGCAAAGCTGCTGCTGCGGGATCGTCTCCTCCCGCTTTCCACACCTGCTCCTCCAACACCTCCCCGTCGTCTCCCACTGTAGTGGATCGTATAACAACAACCCCACGCCCCAGCATCGATGAGGGGAGCCTGAGGCCCCCAAAGGGGCCCCCTAAACCCATCAGCATGCTGCCCCCCATACCCCCTAATAATAAATCAGAAAAAAGAGAATCAGATAAAGTTTCTGCTGCTGCTGCTGCTGCTGCTGCTTTCTTCAGACGCAGCTCACGAGACACCCAAGGCTCCACCAGCTGGACGCTCCACAAACGACCCAGTGTTGGCTTGCCCCTGCAGCAACAGCAGCAGCAACAGCAGCAGCAGCAACAGCAGCAGCAGCAGTAGCAATAGCAGCAACGGGACGGCTTGAAGACAAATAAAGAGATATACACGGAAAAGGAGACAGAAAGGAGACAGAGAGGAGACAGAGAGGAGACAGAAAGGAGACAGAAAAGAGACAGAAAGGAGACAGAGAGGAGACAGAAAGGAGACAGAAAGGAGACAGAGAAGAAACAGAAAGGAGACAGAAAGGAGACAGAAAGGAGACAGAGAAAGTGAGAGCTCTCAACGCATGCAGAGAAGCAGTAGAAGCAGCAAAGAGAGACAGAAACGGAGACAGGGAAAGAAGAAGACAAAACAACAACAACAAGATATACTATCGACAAAACAAGCAAAATATATATATATATCTAAATATATATATATATATATATATATACATATATATATATATATATATACATATATATATATACATATATATAGAAATATAAAAGATAAGAGAGTAAAACATTTGTATTTTGGGGTGTATGTACACACCTCCTCCCCAGCTCATGCAGCGTCGCCTCGAAGCTAATTTTATCTCCAGGATTTAATTTTGATATTTCAGCAGCTAGCTGGGTATCGAACGCGAGAGCTAGGTCAGCTCCGTCTCCCTTCATTCCTTCTTCTTCTCTTTCTAGCTGCTGCACTTCTGTCAATAGGTCATTAGCCCCCCCTCCTGCTCCTCCTTCTCCTTCCCCTGCTGCTGCTGCTGCTGCTGCTGCAGCAGCAGCAGCAGAATCAGAGTCAGTTCCCCCTGCTGCTGCTGCTGCTGCTGCTGCTGGTGGTTGTTGTTGTTTACGTGCTGCAGCAGCAGCAGAAGTGAGAGTAGGATTCATGGCTAGGAGGAGAAAAGAAGGAGAAGAAGCAAAGAGACCTTCTCTTACTTGTTTAACTAACCCCACCCATCGTACTGTTTTATATGCAAACTCCTCACGAAAGTTTAGGGCTGCATGCAGAGGGTTACCGAGCTGAGAACGTTGCCCGCATTTTGATACAAAATCTAACCAAGATAAAGATGTTAACTCTCCTGTATCACACAATATATTTATTTATTTTTTATTGTTTTTATTTATTTTGGTTTTTTTTATTTTGGTTTGGTATATGTTATGTTATGCGTAAGAAATTATACGCAATTAGAGCTTTCTACTTTATATATATATATATATATATATATATATATATATATATATANTATATATATATATATATATATATATATACATATATATAAATACAACCAAGACAAAGACGTTAACTCTCCTGTATCACAAAATATATTTATTTATTTATTATTATTTTAATTTATTTTGTTTTATTATTATTTTAATTTATTTTGTTTTATTGTAAATAATGTAATATGTAGGAGAAAGGAGACAAAAAAAAGGAGACAAAGCTGCACCGATGAGAAAAAAGAAGAGACAAAGAGACAAAACTAAAAAGGAGACAGAAAAAAAAAAGAGACAAAGGAGACAGAAAAAAAAACAGAGAAAGGAGACAGAAACAACGGAGCCAAAGGAGACAGAAAAGGAGACAGAAAAAAGAGAAAAGAGACAAAAAAAAAGGAGACAAAGAGTATGTATTTACCTTTAGCGAGTTGCTGTAGCGATGATAAAAAAGAAGAGACAGAAAAAAAAAGAGAGGAGACAGAAACAACGAAGCCAAAGGAGACAGAAAAAGAGGAGAAAGGAGACAGAGAAAAGGGAGAAAGGAGACAGAAAAAAAAGGAGAAAGGAGACAGAAAAAAAGGAGACAAAGAGTGTGTATTTACCTTTAGCGAGTTGCTGTAGCGAGGTATCAAAGAGTCCCCCTCTAAAGAAATGACACAAAACAAAGACAAAAGAAATACCCAAAAAACAAAATAAATATCTTCTCGTCAAGACAACAGCGCAGCTGCCGCAGCGCAAAGTTAAGACTCTGTCTCCTCCTTTGAAGGGGCAAGACACCCGAGACCGTCGGTACACCAGGTTTCTACAATGCGGGCACTCGTGCACTGCATCCTATACACAAAATAAAAAAAAAATAAAATAAAATATATTAAAATAAAAAAAATAAATTAAAATTAAGTAAAATACAAAAAAATATCAAAGGGATAAGACACCCGAGACAGGCTGTACACCAGGCGGGCACTCGTGCACTGCATCCTATACACAAAATAAAATAAAATAAAATAAAATAAAATAAATAAATTAAATAAAATAAAAATAAAATAAAATAAAATAAAAATAAGTAATTAAACAATTCAAATAGATAAAACACACACACATCAAGCACACAATACACACAACCAGACGCAGCAGCAAGAGCTGACGCTACAGCAGCACCAGATACAGCAGCAGCAGCAGCAGCAGCAGCAGCAGCAGCAACAGCAGCAAGAGCAGCAGCAGCAGAAAAGGCCACAGTATAAACATCCGAATCATCATCAGTAGCAGCTTTTGCAGCACCAGCCGCAGCAGCAGCAGCAACAACAGCAGCAACAGCAGCAGCGACAGCAATAGAAGCAACAACAACAGCAACACCAAAAACAACAACAGCAGCAGCAACAACAGCAGTAGCAGCAACAACAAAAGCACCAGCATCAGCAGCAGCAACAACAACAACAGCAGCAGCAGCAGCAGCAAGAGCAGCAGCAGCAGCAGCAGCAGCAGCAGCATACTCTGAGGGCAATCCATAAGAAGGGCCCCAAGCAGAACCCAACCCATCCAAGAAAAAGAAAAGCAGCGAAGCAAGAGGAGACACCTAAACATGATTTTTTAAAACGAACGGTTGTTGTTATAGCTTTGCTGCAGTGAGGGCACATTGTCTGTGTAGGAGACTCTCCATATGCCTCATCGGGGGGCCCCCCTTCAGGGTGTAGCGGGGGGCCCCCGCTAGAGAAAGGGGGAGGGTCTAGGGGCCCCAGGGGGGGGCCCCCTACTGGGCTTATAGGCTTCATTGCGGGTGCTCAGGAGACAGAGACAGCTGCTGCTCTTATAGTATAGATCAGCAGCAGCAGCAGCAGCCAACCGCAGCAGACAGCCGTCTCGGCTGCTGCTCGGAGTCCGCCAGGGATA